TTCTCCAACATTTCTACTGGGACAATCTCATTACCAATACAATAAGTGTTGTGTTATGATGCTATCTGACTGTCCCTCTGTTATTCACAATACATCTCCCAGTCTCCCCGCAGGACGCGTGTCAGCCCGAGAGACGATCAATAAATAAACTGTGCAAAAAATCCTTCAAGTGACAAATTCATCGCCTTGTCTTCACCAGACAAAAAGATGAGATGACAGAAAAATCGAATGGACAGAGAAATCCTTGTTGACGATGAGTCAGTGCAGTGGGTGTGCGATCCTCTGTGAGTCTGCTTTGCCCATGAGTTAATAACACAGCGTGAGCGTTTGTTTTTTGTGTATCCAGAAGTCAAAGACACACTCTGTAAGAATGACATGCTCATCAAACTCAGCACAGATCAAACATCTGAGGGTCTGAACACAAGGAAAAGAGCCTGGGGCTGATCAACAGGGGAATATTAACAAACTGATAAAACTGCAGAGAAAGAGTCTAACTACATCACAAGAGTCAGTCAAGGTCAGTGTCTGTAACTCAAGTCATGTACTTAATTAAGAATCAGTTGGTCGCTGACACTGTTTTAATATGATTCTGTTTGCACGTAGTGGCAAACGAGAGGAACATCTGTCTGCTGCTGTTTGTAACAAAAGAGATGAGAGCTGATGGAGTGAAGAGACACAGCAAAGGTCGTAAAACCAAAACAATTAGCCGAAAGCTGCTAAATCGCTGAGGGGAACTTCAGAGCTCGTAACAATATCTGGGTTTGTAACCATGAGCGACAAAACATAGCCATTCTCCCATCATTACCTCTGCCAAGAAGGTTATGTTTTCAGCCCTGTCTCTTCATTCTTTTGCAGATTATCACGAAATGTTTCAATACAGTGTTTTTTTGACTGATTTCTCATGCAGGGGAATAAGCATGAAACTTGATGAAAAAATATGTAGGGGACTGACATCTATGAGTGTGTGTACGATGGAGTATCAGGGCCATGTAAAGAGTATATCTGAGATTTTGAGAATGAAGTCATATTATTAAGAGAAACAAAAAGTACATTTTCATCAAGAGGAAAGTTGTAATATTTTGAAAATGTGCTCGGCGGAGTTTTGTTCCTTGACCAACTTGAACCAATCTTATTGTTTCTTGAGAAAGACTAGAATACAGACTTTGAATAGAATATGGATGCAACCAACAATAACCTCACACTACCAAACATTTCCTCCAAGTCACTGTGGTTGTTTCTTCAGAATATAGATTCAATTTCGTGCACAATATTCCAAAGTCCTAATACTAATGATAATGTAATATTACAACTTTTTTCTTGAAATCTCATATATTTTCTCCTATTAAGTGTCCGATCCAAATAAATAGTGGATTTAAATGTGCTCTAGGGCCATTCTAATCGATACA